CTTTCCGTCCTCAGATTTGTTCTCCTCGATGTATTCCTGGCCAACTGGCTGAATGTCTTTTTCGTCAACTGTAGACTCTTCTACAGTTTCTTCAGTAGTTGGCTCCTCCTGCTTAACCTCTGCAGTTTGATTCTGATTTACTGTGCCCAAGTTTCCAGCTAAAATATATTGCAAAATGATAATGTATAAATTGTTGTAAGTTGCATAAGTTTTATAAATATTTATAAAAATTATTAAACTTTGGTAATATCTCATTTTAACAAGAAAATACTCACAGGCAACAAAGTTGATCTTAGGCGTTGCTGTGACTGTTGGTTTCTTAGTTGTCGTAGTTTTTGTAGTTGCTGCTGGCTTCGGATTGAGAACAGTAGGATCCGCACTTGGTATAGGTTTTCCAAGCTTAGTATGCAATTTGACAACTTTCTGATGCTTAGCACCTCTGATGTGAGCAGCATAAGCATCATTTCCAGTACAAGTTACATCACACAGCTCACAACGAAGACTGTTGCCTGCTCCACGCGCGGGGGGCTGTTGCGGCACTTTCAGGGAGGCCTCCTTCTTCTTGTGCTTCTGACCCTCTAGATGCTCACGATAGGTTTGTGGACCAGCGCAGCTGATCTTACAGACATCGCAATAGTGTAGTTGTTGAGGTTTAGGAGGCTGCTTGGGCCGCATTGCCTTCATTCCTCCCCCGCCAGCTCCAAATCCCTTTCGTCCGTAGCCCTGCCAACCTCCAGTCTTCTGGTTAGTGGAATTGCTGTTTGCACTCTGTTGGGCTACATACATAGTCGCAGCGCTATATAGCGCTGCGTCGTAGCCGGAATACGTTGTACTCGCCGTTTCTAAGGGAAATGAAATTGAAACCTCAAACTTTGGAGGGCTCCAAACAATTTGTACTTTTGCGCGGCACAAAATTTTTACTATTATTCATTTCAAGATGCATCGAAGCACGAATTATAAAAATTCCATAACAAAACACTGATGAATGCGAAAGTCCGCTCCATACTTACAAGCGGCTAAAAAGAAATTTTTTTTACTTCTGCTAAATCCTTGAACCGTTATCACGCTCGAGAATGCTAGCAGAGTTTTACAAACTTTTTGTCTTTTCCACATTTTCGTTCATACATCGTGAGAGGATCAATTTCATGTTATTAGTTCCTACGTCACAGTTAGTGGTCAAGAGAGGACCGAAAATATTTAAAGACAAATATATAAGAGGCAGATACTTACTATTTGTTGCAGTTGATGGAGTAGCGGCAGGTGTAGCTGGAGCTGTATATCCTGATGAATAAGTAGCACTCTGTGTGGGATTTGATTGCTGATATGCCGTACTAGATGCTTGGTAAGTCTTTGCTTGTCCAGTAGTAGTCGCTTGTCTGGCAGTACCAGTATAGGCACTAGTTGTACTATAAGCAGGTTTTGCAGCCTGGTAGTGTGTTTCAGTAGTAGTATAAGTTGCTGCAGCAGCTGCTGGTTGTTGATAATAGGTCTTAGTCGCGTCGTATGTAGCTGCTGGTGCAGCTCGTCCGTATCCGTAGTCGTAAGTCTGAGCTACAGTACCAGGATTGGCAGCTACAAGGAAAATGATATAATTGTATATGATATAGCTGTCATTTTCATATTTAAAAATATTACTCATTATACATAAACAAAAATTCTCTGTAATTCGTATATAGTAAATAAAACAATAAAGCTTCTTTTTTTCCCAATGGCCAATCGGTCACTTAATGAAATAGAAGGTACAAGACCCATAGAAAAAAAAAAGTGCAAACCTAACTCCACTCACTACACCTGAACCAATCAGTACATTTCCATTTTCCATTACATTATGTATGTATATGTGCATGTATATGT